GAACAGTTTAGAAGTCCGCAAAGGAGAACCAAGGGATTGATTAAGAAGGGAAGGTGGAGTTTGAGAATAAGCCTGCAAGGAGCATAGCATCTGACGGAATAAGTTTCTGAAAGCATGTAATGTAGGTCCCTCGGTGTCAGAAACGGGATAATTTATAATGGGGAACAGACAAATAGTTGATGAAATAAATTCATATTTCACTTCTGCCTTCTTAAAAAAGGACACGAGGAAGCAGATCTGTGTAATCAATAGAAAAATGGTATTGGAGAAATTGATGGGATTGAAGGCTGATACATCTCCAGGACTTTATTATCTAGGATTCCAGGAACTCACCACCCTTTGTGTGGAAAAACTTGCCTCTCACGTCTCTTTTATACTCCACTCCCCACCCCTCCCTGAAGCTGTATCCCCTAGTAATTGACTCCTCCATCCTGGAAAAAGCCTCATACTTTCCACTCTAACCATGCCATTCATAATCATCTTAGCTTCAATCAGGTTGTACTTCAACTTCCTGCTTCCAGTGAAAACAAGGCCAGTCTCTCCAATCTTTCTTCATAGCTAAAATCCCCCATACCAGGCAACATTGTGGTAAACCTTTTCTGTACCATGTCAAAAGCATCCACATCCTTTTGGTAGCGTGGTGACCACAACTGTACTCAATATTCCATGTGTGGCCACACTAAAGTTCAAATAAAGCTGCAGCATAACTTGCCTGTCCTTGTACTTGGTGCCCCTTCCGATGAAGGCAAGCATGCCATACGCCTTTGTTATTACCTTATCTACCGATGCTGCCACCTTCAGTGATCTATGGACCTGCACGCCCATATCCCTCTGCATGTCATTACTCCTAAGGGTTCTGCCATTAACAATAATTTCCACCTGTACTTGACCTTGCAAAATGCATGACCTTATATTTGTCCAGATTAAACTCCATTTGCTGTTTTTCTGCCCGTGCCTCCAACTGATCTATATCCTGCTGTATCCTCTGACAATCTTGCTCACGATCGCAACCCCACCATCCTTTGTATTATCCACAAACTTACTAATTGGACCAGCCATGTTTTCCTCCAAATCATTTATGTAGACCATGAACAGCAGAGGTCCCAGCACTGATCCCTATGGAACACCAGTAGTCACGAACTTTCATTCTGAAAAGCATCCTTCCATTGCTACCCTCTGTCTTCTATGACTAAGCCAGTTCTGTATCCAGGGACAAAAACAAAGTTGCTGGAAAAGCTCAGCAGGTCTGCCAGCATCTGTGAAGAAAAAATCAGAGTTAACGTTTTGGGTCCGGTGACCCTTCCTCAGAACAGTTCTGTTTCCATCTTGCCAGCTTACCCCTGATACCATGTGACTTCACTTTTTGTACCAGTCTACCATGAGGGACCTTGGCAAAGGCTTTACTGAAGTCCATGTCGACAGCATCAACTGCTTTTCCCTCATCAATCATCTTCGTCACGTCCTCAAAAAACTCAGTCACTTTAGTGAGGCACGACCTCCCCTGCACGAAACCATGCTGTCTGTCGCTAATAAGTCCGTTTGCTTCTAAATGCTTATAGATCTTATCCCTGAGAACCTTTTCTAATACTTTCCCTACCACTGATGTGAGGCTCACAGGCCTGCAATTTCCAGATTATCCTGCTACCTTTCTTAAACAATGAGGCAACATTGGCAATTCTGCAATCTTCCGGGACCTCACCTGTTGCTGGAGAGGATACAAAGATGTCTGTCAATGCTCCAGCAATTTGCTCTCTTTCCTCCCTCAATATTCTGGGATAGATCCCATTATCACCTGGGGACTTATCTACCGTAATACTTTTTAAGACACACAACACTTCTTCCTTTTTAATAGCAACTTGGCTTAGAAATTCTGCACTCCCTTCCCTGAGATCATCTTCCACCAATTCCTTCGCTTTGGTGGATACTGACACACAGTATTTGTTTAGAACCTCACCCACCTCTTCTGGCTCCACACATAGATTCCCTCCTTCGTCTTGAATGGGCTAACCCTTTCCCTGGCTTCCCTATTGCCCTATTATCTATGTATAAAAAGCCTTGAGATTCTCCTTAATCCTGTTTGCTCATGACTTTTCATTAGTGAACAGGATTAAGAAGAATACCAAAGCTTTGAATCCCACAGTACTTAAGGAAGTAGCCCCAGAAATCGGTTGTCATCTTCCAAGATTCTTTAGACTCTCGTAGGCGCGGGGGTGTTGGGGGTGGTCCTCAGTCATTAAGAGAGGCTCGGTAGCACCACAACTGACTGAGCCACTCGAGTCCTAAAGGACATGGCTGCTAGATTAAGTCAACAGCTGATGAGGGGTCCACATACTTGGTCTTATTCTCTGAAATCTGCCTGTCACAGATACAGTTGCCCATGACAGTATCAGTAAGAGTGACCACAGCAAAGTCCACACAGCATGTGAAGACAATGGCCCATTAATGCTTCTTAACCAGCATCTTCCAAATTCACAGCCGTTGAGAAGGACCGGGGAAGCTTATACATGGGAACACCACCACATGCAAGTTCCCCTCCAAGGGGCACACCACCCTGATTTGGGTGTATATTCATCGTAGAATCATATTATAGAATACCTACAGTGTGGAAACAGGCCCTTCAGCCCAACAAGTCCTCACTGACCCTCTGAAGAGCAGCCCACCCAGACCCAATTAGAATCTTGTCTCAGTTAGAATCTAGTAAGTGTCAAGTGGAGTTTGGTAGTGGTTGGTCTGACAAAATTCTTTTCCTAGAAGCTTAGATGCAGATGAATTGTAATTGAAGGTGCAGCAATATAATTCTTACAGTTTGGGAAATTAGTTCACTTTTGAGGCAAGATATTGGATTTTTCTGGAAATCTGACTTGGAGAGAGGTTGGGATTAGAGGTAGGCTTAGAAATGCCTGAATTCAAAGACTTCTGAAGAAGGAACTTGAAATGGTAAGTTTTTCTTTCTCCCCTGATGGGCTGCCAGGCCTACTGACTTTTTCCAACAATGTCTGTTTCATAGGAGAAACTAGGACCTGAGAGCACAGCCTTGGAGTGAGGGGATGACCTTTTAGAACAGGAAATTCTTCAACCAGAGGGTGGTTAATCTATGGAACTCATTGCTGCAGAGGGCTGTGGTCGCCAAGTCATTGAATGTATTTAAAACGGAGATAGTTGGATAGGTTCTTGATTGGTAAGAGTGCAAGGGTTATGGGGAGAGGGCAGGAGAATGGGATTGAAAAACCTATCAGCCATGATTGTTTGGTGAAGCAGGCTCAATAGGCCGAATGATCTAATTCTGTTTCTGTACCTTATGGTCTTATTTTGGCTCTCCAGCTTTCGCAGTATTTTTGCTTTTATTAGAGTAGCCTGGAGCTGATTTTGTTGCTGACAGTGTCAATGTAAAGAGCAGAGGAGAGTAGTCAGAAAGTGTGCAATTGAAGGCAATTCAAACAAACCAGTTTCAGTCATATGGTGGAGGTTTCACATTGAATCATCTAGTTGATGGAACTGCTTTGAAGACGTCTCGCTCAGACCCATTGTGTCTTAAGAGAAAATAACTGAAAGGCTGTTAGCACCAAGTCAATCATAATGGGTTTTGATGCCTTTCACTGAAATCAAACTCAGCTGTAGAGGCATGTTGCCTTGGGTTATTTTGTGTTGGCCAGGCTGGAATGTTCATGCAAATGGAAGGCATGACATTCCTGAGATTATTTTGTCCTGGTAATTGCTGGAAATTTCTAAAGTAACCAACTTGCACAATTTTAATTCAGTATGTGTCCTTTTTTTGAAATAAAGAAATTTGTATCTTTCGCTTAATACCATTTGGACATGATGAGAACACATCCTATTTGAAAGGTAATTTCAGATCCCATATTATGCAGACTTCTACATTACAGCAGACATATTAAAGCAGGGTCCCAATGTAAAATCAGTGTTTAAAAAGTCTTTGTCCCTAACATAAAAAGAACCAATTTGTTTCCAAATGTGCAATTCCTGATTAAATTTCTGTAGATAATGAGTGTGTATGCTATTTATTCCTAATGTGAACAAAGTGAACCAGAAAATGCTATATATACACTCAGCAAGTCAAGGAAAATAAAATTAATGTGTGTGGTTGATGACCCGTCATCAAAACTGTTAAACCTAAACATTGAAGTTTTCATTTTCACAGATGCGGTTTGATCTGTGGAGTATTTTCAGTATTTCTGTTCTGATTTCAGTTTCTAGCAACTGCTGTATGAATTCATTGAAGGTAGTTCTGTGTTTTAGTTACACACTTGCCTTTACTTTCTACAGGTTAAGCCTAGTTTTCAAACCACTTCATGCCTTTGTGGCATAAGTTGACCTGGTGGGCCTAGTTCATGATGTAAGGACTTGTGCAAATTCCACCTTGTCATTTGGCAGATCTTAAGCACGTTGGGAGAATATAACAAGTCCATGATTAAACAGAGAAGAAAGCTTCCTTTGTTTAATGTGAAAACTCAGATTTCTTTTTCAAACAGAAATTGTCTACATTTTCACGTGTTATAGAACTTGGAGAATACACAAATAGCTAACAGTTAACGTTTGAATTCGAACACTAGCTCCTGATGAGAATTAGCGACATTTTATATAATTAATATTCAGTTGTAGAGTTCACTTGAATGATACCAGGAAATATAGATACATTCCTTTCTTCTATAGAACACATACACCAATGCAGATAAACTTCTGGAAGCTGCAGAGCAATTGGCTCAAACAGGGGAGTGTGACCCTGAAGAGATTTATCAGGCAGCCCATCAACTGGAAGATCGGATCCAGGACTTTGTAAGAAGAGTGGAGCAGCGGAAGATCCTACTGGATATGTCGGTCTCTTTTCACACCCATGTCAAGGAGGTGAGCTGGCATTTTGTGTTTTATTATGTAATCTGTTGAATTTGTTCTGTCCTGTCAACATTCTTACATTAGAATTTTCTGTGATTATGTTTATAATGGAAATTGTCTGTAGAAATATATACTTCCAGTCTGCTGACAAGGATTCTTGAAGGTCTGTGTTGAGCAGGAGTATGGGTTTGAAAGACGAAAAGCTGGTGGAACTAGGTCTTTTTGTCGTTTAGTGTTGATTGCTGCTAGAAAGGAAGATACAGCACAGGAACAGACCCATCAGCCCACCAGGTCTGCACTGACCATGATGCTGTTATAAACTAATTCCATCTGTGGGCACATGGTCCATGTCCCTCTGTTCTCTGCTGTTTGTGTGTCTGTCTAAATGCCTGTTAAACATGGCTATCATATTTGCTTCTGCCACTTCGTCTGGCAGTGCATTCCAGGAAACACATTTCTCTTAACTGTTTTAGAAGTATTACAGTCCTTTTGGGAGCTGTTGCCTTGTAGAATTTAGCTAGTAATTAAATTAGGTCAGGAAACATTCACATATTTCCATGTGACTGGGATCATCCATGTGATTGGGAAGTCCTCTTGGTGAATGTAGAGAGGGAACTTTACTGTCTAGTTACCCTGCTAAGAGTTTTCTGCTTCCACTGACAGTGGGTAGTAGTTCTTTCTTGAATCAAGGTTTGCTTATTGCTGTGCTCAGTGATTTTATTGACATTGGCTCTCTTTCAGCTGGAGTTGTGCTTCCTCTGAAGAAAGCAGTAATCTTTCCTGGGATAAGTAATTACACTTCTGCCTTACAAGGTGTAAAATATTCCACTTCAAGTACTTAGTCAGAAAGTTTCTTGATGGTCCTGCACAGATTTATTCAGATGCACTATCTGAGAGAAATTTCTTGGAGCTCCTGCATGAATTCTTAGAGGCAAATTCATTTCAGGAATTTTGTTGGCCATGAAGTGGTTTTCTAACTACATTACTTTATGCCATGTTATGGAGAGGTGATATTTTCTATGATGCAACATTTTAATTCTTCCACATCATTTCTGCCGAAAAATTGAATCAGGGTAAAACTTTTTACCTCGAAATACTTTTTTTCCCACTTTGTGTTAAGAATTCCTTTTTCTAGCTTCTCTTGATGTAAAGTGAGAAGAGGCTTGAAGGAGATTTGGACAGGCTGAGTGAGTGTGCAAGAACATGGCAGATGCCATATAATGTGGAAAAGCATGAGGTTATCCTTATACTTGAGGGCAGCATGGTCGTTGACAGTACTGCCTCATGGCACCAGGGACCCAGGTTTGATTCCAACCTTTGTGCAGAGTTTGCATGTTCACCCCATATCTGAGTGGGTTTTCACTAGGTGCTCCAGTTTCCTCCCACAGTCCAAAGTTGTGTAGGTTTGGTGGATCGGCCATGCTAAATTGCTCCATAGTGTCCAGGGATATGCAGACTACATGGTAAATGCAGGGTTACAGGGAATAAGGTGGGAGCTTCTTCAGAGGGTCAGTGCAGACTAGATGGGCCAAATGGCTTCTTTCTGCACTGTAGGGATTCTGTGATTCCATTCACTCTGCAGAATATTTCTCGAGTGGTGAGAGATTGGGAAGTGTTTATGTCAAAAGGAGCCTGTGTGTCCCAAGTCATAAATGATAGAAATCTAGCATGCAGCAAACAATTAGGAGCATATCTTTTGATAACTGGTAACAAAGTTTAAACGTCTGTTCCTATTTCCCTTTTCCTATTCACACTACTAGTTCAGGTTGCAGTATGACATTTGACTCCAGTCAAGACAGCTATATTTCTTATGAATACGTAGGAAAATGGGAAGCAGGAGTAGGCTATTCAACCCTCAAGCCTGTTCCACTACTGTACGGCATAGCTGATCATCGATCTCAACATAGAAACATAGAAGGTAGGAGAGGCTATTCGGCCCTTCCAGCCTGCTCCGCCATTCTTCACGATCATGGCTAATCATCCAACTCAATAGCCTAATCCTGCATTCTCCCCATAACCTTTGATCCCATTCGCTCCAAGTGCTATATCTAGTCGCCTCTTGAATGCATTCAGTGTTTTGGCATCAACTATGTCCTGTGGTTATGAATTCCACAGGCTCACCACTCTTTGGGTGAAGAAATGTCTCCTCATCTCCATCCTAAATCGTCTACCCAAATCCTCTACCCAAATCCTCATACTGTGACTCCTGGTTCTGGACACCCACCATTGGGAACATCCTCCCTACATCTGGCTTATCCAGTCCTATTAGAATTTTATAAGTCTCTGAGATCCCCCATCATTTGTCTGAACTCTAGCAAAAACAATCGCAATCTGGTCAATCTCTCCTCGTACATCAGATGCGCCATCCCTGGAATCAGCCTGGTAAACCTTCGCTGCACTCCCTTGAGAGTAAGAGCATCCTTGCTCAGAAAAAAGACCAAAACTGCATGCAGTATTCTAGGCGTGGCCTCACCAAGGCCCCATACAGCTGCAACAATACATCCCTGCTTCTGTACTCAAAACAACTTGCAATGAAGGCCAACATACCGTTTGCCTTCTTTACTGCCTGTTGCACCTGCATGCTCACCTTCAGCTGCTGGTGCACAACGACACCCGGGTACCACTTCACATTCCCCTCTCCCAATTTACAGCAATTCAGGTAGTAATCTGCCGCCTTGTTTTTACTTCTGAAGTGAATAACCTCACATTTACCCAAATTGTATTGCGTCTGTCATTGATTTGCCCACTCACCCAACCTGTCCAGATCATGCTGTAGGATCTCTGCATCCTCTTCACAGTTCACCGCCTCACCCAACTTGGTATCATCTGAAAACTTGGAGATGTTACATTTTGTTCCCTCATCTAAATCGTTAATATATACTGTGAATAGCTGGGGTCCCAGTATTGATTCTGTGGCACCCTACTACTTACTGCCTGCCAGTTTGAAAGTGGCCTACTCTTTACTTTCTGCCAACCAGTTTCCTATCCATTTCAATACACTTTCCCCAATGCACTTTAATCTTGCACATTAATCTCTTACATAGGACTTTGTCAAACGCCTTCTGAAAGTCCAAATATACTACATTGACTGGCTACCCCTTGTCAACTCTATTAGCTACATTTTCTTAGAATTCCAACAGATTTGTCAAGCATGATTTCCCCTTCATAAATCCATGCTTACTCTGCCTGATCCTGCCACTGCTTTCTAAATGCTCTGCTATAAAATCCTTGATAATTGATTCAATAATTTTCCCCACTACCAATGTTAGGCTCACTGGTCTATAATTCACTGTTTTCTCTCTACCACCCTTTTTGAATATTAGAGTGACAATAGCTACCCTCCAATCTGCAGGGACTGTTCCAGAGTCCATAGAATTCTGGAAGATGACCACCAATGCATTCACTATTTCTAGAGCTACTTCCTTAAGTACTCTGGGATGTAGATTATTAGGCCCTGGGGATTTATCGGCCTTCAATCCCAACAATTTTCCCAGCACCATTTCTTTACTAATATTGATCTCCCTCAGTTCTTCAAACATCATTCTCTCAAACTACCCCCCTGTCCCTTGGTATCCAGAAATCTAACGATCTCTGTACAGAACATACTCCGTGACTGAACTTTACTACCCTCTGGCATAGAGAATTCTACCACAGCAATATTATGAAGTGCAACTATCCATTAACACACTTTGAAATGAGCAATGCTACCAAATATCCTGCAGAGGCTACAGGCAGGGATCAGAAGCAGGAAATACTACAGGAGCCAATTGGCTGAGTGGTACAACCATTCAGATGAAGTCTAAAAGTTGCCCAACTCATTCAATTAAGTCGGAAGGCCATGAATTATGAGTGCTGGCACCCCGTGTAATACCTCGCCCTACAAATATTAGTTATTGAGGGTTAAAAATTATGGCTTAAGATATTTTTGGAAGTATTTTGAAACAAATTGTGTCAAACCAGTGGTCAGATTAAACATGCACATTCTGTTGAAAACATTGATGCAGGAATTTAAAAAGGAAATGTCGACATACAAAATGCAACAAAATATGTTCATTTATATGAGTTGAAGGCATTCTAACAAGCTTGGTTTAAACTATTGGTATTCTATTCATTGCCCTACTGTGAAGCACTTTGAAATTTTAATGATGTACACAGTATTCGTGAAACTTTGAGGTTGATAAAATAACAAAAAACCTGAAATATTAATTTTATTTCTTCACCGGGGGTGGCACTGTGGCTCAGTGGTTAGCATTGCTGCTTCACAGCACCAGGGACCTGGATTCGATTGCACCCTTGGGCGACTGTCTGTGGAATTTGCATGTTCTCCCCGTGTCTGTGTGGGTTTTCTCTGGGTGTTCCGGTTTCCTTCCACAGTCCAAAGATATGCAGGCTAGGTGGATTGGCTGTACTAAATTGTCCGTAGTGTTCAGGGATGTGTAGGTTAGGTGGGTTATAGGTGGATGGTTCTGGGTGGGATGCTCTGAGGGACAGTGTGGACTCGTTGGGCCAAAGGGCCTGTCTCCACACTGTAGGGATTCTATAAATTTGCAGTGGGCGTGTAGCTCAGTGGTGGAGCATTTCACTGCAGATCACGAGGTTCCCAGTTCAAATCCCTTTAGAGGCTCTTGAACTCTGGGGGGCAGCACTGTGGCTCAGTGGTTAGCACTGCTGCCTCACAGCGCCAGGAATCCAGGTTCGATTCGACCCTCGGGCGACTGTCTGTGAGGAGTTTGCACATTCTCCCCGCGTCAGCGTGGGTTTCTTCCGGGTGCTCCAGTTTCCTTCCACAGTCCAAAGGTGTGCAGTTTAGGTAGATTGGCCATGTTAAATTGCCCGTAATGTTCAGGGATGTGTAGATTAGGTGGGTTATGAGGGATGGGTCTGGGTGGGATGCTCTGAGGGACAGTGTGGACATGTTGGGCCGAAGGGCCTATCTCCGCACTGTAGTGATTCTATGATCTATGATCCTTAGATGCAGCCTGACCAGGGCATTTCCTGAAAATTCTACCAGCGTCCTAATTTTTTTTTTGCAATGTTAAGCGCAAGTTTTCCCCTTTGTTGCTCCTCTCCGTATAGGCATAAGCAAAATAAATCAATTTGTGAACAAATGATCCTTTTGAAAGGCATATGTCATAATTGGAACGTATAAGACATTTGGCATTTATTCCAATAAATTTTAGCTTTGCAATTAAGACAGTTGGCTTGACTAGTACAAGGCAACCATTTCCATTGAACTTTTTATTCAGATTCAAAGAAAAAGAACACATGTTAGAACTTGTACAAGTGTTATTTGAAATAGGAAGCCATTTCTTGGTTGTGGTCCATTTGAGTGTCTCTCTAGAAATACTCTGAAAGAACCATGAACTCTGCTGACACACAAAGGAGAGATACTGTCTTCCTATATTTTATGTATGATGATAAATAGATCTTGTTTATTGGAATATAACTGTTCTAGGAAACAGGTGACTTTATTTAGAAGTAAAGATAAAAGTGAAGTTGCTGTAGTCTTACCAGACCACGGGACTGTTCGCTTAATAGAGAGAGAGACAACTGGTGGTGGCATATCCTGAGGGTCACCATGCCTCAGGCGAGGATTGAGGTTGAGAAGAGTCCTTCATGGTAACCTCAACAGTGCGGGAATTGAACCCAAGCTGTTGGTGCCACTGTGCATTGCAAACTATCCATCCAGCCAATGGAGCAAGCCATATTAGGATATTATACCTTGTCTGTCATAAACTTGCATTGTTTACTTCAGTTTTAATATTACAAAATAAACAAATTAAAATGAAATTCAGATCATAACTCTTGAATTGGAATCAAATGTAAGAATATAGTCTACAGCCCAATGGCCTAAACCTAGATTTCACCAGTTTTAAATGTCCCCAACCCTGGGCTCATCCCATGTCCAACCCTCCCTCTCATCCCAGTCTCTTTGACCTGATACAACCTGTCCATCTTCTCTCGCAACAACCGCCCCTCCCACCTCACTGACCAATCCCCACCACTCCCTACCTGCACTCACCTATCACCATCCCATCTACCTTCCCCAGCCCCACTCCTCCTCTCTCTACTTTTGAGCTCCCTTACCCTTCCCCATTTCTCAATAAGTGGCCTGACCCGAAACATCAACTTCCCTGCTCCTCTGATGCTGCCTGGCCTGCTGCGTTCGTTCAGCTCCACACTGTGTTATCTCTGATTCCAGCATCTGCAGTTCTTGATATCTCGAAGAATATTGTTGTAGTGATTGGAACCAGGACCAGATGGATCTCATTGACTGAGATCCTTGATTGGGGTTGTTAACCTGGGCCAACCAGGGAGCACTGGGCTGACATATAAGCTGGAGATTGAGTTTCCTGGGACTGGCTCTGAGCTGGCTGGTAACAGCCCATATACTCTGCACACGTAATTAAAGGGTATCTTGGTGACACAATACTGGCCTCTGTGCAATTATTCCAAAAATCCTCCACAAAAGTGACAAAACGTGGGCAGTTGCAATTCCTATTAGTTATTCCTTGGATGTATTGAACTCTTTTTTAACTCCCAGGCAGGGTATGACAAAGTAGCTGGAAGGTTCAGCTGACCTTTATGACTGTGACTTACTGTCACGCAACCTGCTGACCTACTGATTAAAATAGTCCTGAAGCCAGTACAGTCTGGATGCCGAGCTGTTAAGCTTACATGGCAGGAGACTGGTAGCGCAGATTCAGGAGACGGTCACACGTACTTGCCTTGGAGGGCATCCTACTCGGGGTACTGGAGCCCCAGCAGGTGCCCTTAAGATTTCAGGGAAGAAACTAATTTTAAAAACACTAAATGAGGAGAAAATTTGTCTCAATTTTTCTGAAGCTGATTCTGAAATTCAGTACATTTTAAAGCCATCATAATGTGTCTCTATCCCACTTGAAAGATCTGCTTGGATGACGAGTTAGGGTCTTAATGAACAATGGCCCTTCTTCCGCGTCATGAATTATGTGGCTTTTGGCCATCAGCTGACAAGAAATTACAAGTGTATTTAAGAAATATGCTTCCCCTGTTCCTAACCTTGAATTGTATTCTGCCAGAAACTTGGCAGAATGGTGAATTTCGGCATGCTTTACACCATTCTGTGATACTGCAAGTTGATAGCATCCTAGCCCACATTTTAAATGGCAGTTTTTCAGAGTAGTCTTATTTTCAGATTTCCAACGTTCCAACATATTTTGCTTTTGAGTGGAAAGCATAATCTGCTGTACGCATCTCTGTAAAGCTTGAACTGCAATAAGTTCCTGCCACATAGGGTTAGGATTCTTTCATGTGGACCAGTGACCACACATTAGATTTTTTTTTAAAGAACAGACTTGTTCTATTGTATTTTCTGCTTTCCAGCAGCCAAGCACAATGAGCACCAGCTTTCCACTTAAAACTTATTGCCATGTAACCTGCTAATAAATGCTTTACAGCGCCTATAATTGCAATGTTGCTACTACTTAATCAATATGCTCACCAAATGAATTTCAAGCTCATGGTAATGGTTTAGATTGAGATGTAACAAAAGGAGCAGCAGCTTAGAAAAAAACATAATTAACATTGTTTCTCTCTGAACAATCAGCAGAGTTAATATTTTGAGCCCAAAGACTCTTTGGGAATTTAAAGTTTGGGCAAAGATCTGTAGCTCGGGTTGAGGGTGAGGTTGTTGACTTGCTCACCTAGCTGGCTTATTTTCGTTCACACGTTTCATCATTATGCTAGGTGACATCATCAGTGGAGCCTCCATTGAAGCGATGTTATTCTACTCCGCTTGGAATTTATACTGCCAGGTCCATTATGGTGAATAGTGTCATTTCTGGTTTTGATCTGTATGGATTTGTATGTGAGTTTGTTTGCATTACGGGTAGAGAACGATGCCGCTAGGAATTCCTGTGCGTGTCTATGTTTGGCTTGGGCTACTTTGGTTACCTGGTCCCAGTTAAACTGATGGCCTTCATTTTCTGAGTATACTGATATTAAGGACAATTCGTCATGCCGTTTTGCTGCTAGTTGATGTTCGTATATTCTGATGGCTAGTTTCCTTCCTGTTTGTCCAATATAGTGTTTGTGGCAGATGTTGGATGGTCGGCATCTGCAGATATAAACGCTATAAACGGATATCCTCGCAAATTCGTCCGCAGATGCTTACTAAACATACAACAACAGGAAGACACAGTACTCCTTAACACACTGGCCACGCTGCCCTACATCAAGAACATATCGGAACTGACAACAAGACTCTTAAGACCAATAGGAATCATGGTGGCCCGCAAGCCCACAGCCACACTACAACAAACACTTAAAGGATTAAAGACCCCATTCTCACAACATGCAGAACCAACGTAGTTTACAAAATACCATGCAACGACTGCCACAAACATTACATCGGACAGACAGGAAGGAAACTAGCCATCAGAATACGTGACCATCAACTAGCAGCAAAACAAACTCTCCTTAATATCGGTACACTCGGACAATGAAGGCCATCAGTTTAACTGGGACAAGGTAACCATAGTAGCCCAAGCCAAACATAGACACGCACAGGAGTTCCTGGAGGCATCGTTCTCCACTCGTAATGCAATCAACAAACACTTCGAATTGGATCCCATAAACAAACCTATACGGATCAAAACCGGAAATGACACTACTCGGCATAACGGACCGGACAGTATAAATTCCTAGTGGAGTCGAATAACATCACTTCATTTGAGGCTCCACTGATGATGGTGAAACGTCTAAACGAAAACAAGCCAGTTCGGCGAACAAGTCAACAACCTAACTCTTTGGGAATCAAATCATTACCCCATTTGTCCTCAAATGCTGCCAGATCTGCTGAGCTTCTTCAGCATTTTCTGTTCTTATTTCAACTTTCCATTCAAATCTGTTCTCAATCATGGCCTCTATTATTTTCCACATTGTTAATATTCCAGTTGTGGTGTTTTCTGTTTTGTAGCTCTGGACATGGCTGGAGGATTTACAGAAGGAACTTTTGGATGATGTGTATGCTGAATCTGTGGAGGCAGTGCAGGATTTGATCAAACGCTTTGGGCAGCAGCAACAGACCACTCTTCAAGTTACAGTGAATGTCATCAAAGAAGGGGAGGATTTAATCCAACAATTGAGGTTGGCAATCAGATTGTTACAACTTTGAGTTATCACTGTCTCATTTAGTTTGAATTCTTGGAGCCTGATATCAATTTGGAAAGCACGTCCCCCCTCCTTGCCTTAGTGACCGGATCCCTTCATCCAAGTCTTGTACGTAAATAGTAAAATCTTAAAGCTACAGCACTGATTTCTGTGGCACACCACTTTTATGTCTTGCTAAAAATGACACGTTTACAGCTAATGTTTCCTGTTAGCTAGCCAATGTCCTCTACAGCATGAGCTTTTAATTCCTGTAATAAGCTATGATGTGGCACCTCATCAAATGCTTTCTTGAAATTTAAGTACAGTACATCTACTGGTTTCCTTTTATTCAAAGCACACTACTTCCTCAAAGATCTCTAATAAATTGCTTAAACATGATTTCCCTTCCAAAGAACCATGTTGATTCTGCCCAATTACCTTGAATTTTTTGAAGTACCTGGCTAGGTTCTCGAACATCTCTATAAAAACATAATACTTAGGAACAGAAGTCGGCCTTTTGGCCCATCAATTTTGCTCTGCCATTCAATGAGATCGTGACTGTTCTGATAATCTTAACTCCACTTTCCTGTCTTTTCCCCATAATCCTTGATTCCATTACTGATTAAAAATCTTCAAACCTCAATCTTGACCATGCTTACTTAAGCCAGCATCAACCACCCGCTGTGGTGAAGAGTTCCACAGTGTCACGACTCTCTGTGAAAAGAAATTTCTCCTCATTGCTGTCTTAAATGGGTGACCCCTTACTCGGAGATTATGCCCTTTGGTCCTAGACTCTCCTGAAAGGGGAAACAGACTCCCTGCCTATACTCTGTCAAGCCATCTAAGAATTCTGTATGTTTCAATAAAGTTACCTGTCGTTCTTCTAAACTCCAATGAATACAGGCCTAACCAATTCAATGTCTCCTTGTAAAATCCCTGCATTCCTGGGATCAACCGAGTGAATCAGTTCTGACTGTCTCCAATGCCAGTATCTCTTTCATTAGATAAGGGGACCAGAATTGTTTATTATTTTCTAGGTTTGACAAATGTTCAGCCAACCAGCCTGCCCCCGCATCCACTTCAACATAACTCCGTTACTCCCTGGGCACTGAGCACTCTGTTCAAAGTCATACTCAGTCACATGAGAGTATAATGACATAAGTATTGTTGACATGGAGAACTAAATAGTGATAGCTTGAAAAGTGTCCTTATTACAGAGGAGGAGGTGCTGGGTGTATTAAAACACACATATGTGGATAAATCCCTGCGACCTGATCAGGTGTATCCCAGAAGCTGGGGGAAGTGATTGCTGGACCCCTTGCTGAGATATTTGTATCATGATAGCCGTGGGTGAGGTGGCAGAAGACTGGAGGATGGCTAATGTGGAGCCATTATTTTAAAAAGGTGTAAGGTAAAGCCAGAGATCTATAGACCCTGACATCAGTAAGTTGTTGGAGGGAGTTCTGAGTGACAGGATTTACATGTATCTGGAAAGACAAGGACTGATTAGGGATAGTCAACATGGCTTTGTGTGTGGGAAATCTTGTCTCACTAGATTGAGTTTTTTGAAGAGGGTATGGAACGTTTGAGTTATAAAGAGAGTCTGGATAGACTGGGACCTTTTTCCATTGGAGCGTAGGAGGTTGAGAGGCGACCTGATAGAAATTCACAAAATGAGAGATATAGGTAGACTTAATGGTAGTTGTGTTCTCCTTAGGATGAAGGATTTCAAGACTAGGGGACACATTTTTAAGGTGAGAGGAGAGAGATTTTAAAAAAGAAATGAGAGGCAAATTTTTGACACAGAGGGTGGTTCACGTGTGGAATGAACTTCCTGGGGAGGTGGCGGATGTGGGTACAGTTATAACATTGAAAAGACATTTGAATAGGTCCATAATTAGGAGTGATTTGGAGGGATGTGGGCCAGGAGCAGGCAGGTAGGACTAGTTTACTTTGGGATTATGGACTGATTAGACTGAAGGGTCTGTCTCAGTGCTGTATGCTCTCTATAAGTGGCAAAGGAAGAGCTGGTGACATTGTCTGTATGGACTTCAGTAAAGCATTCGACAGGGTTCTGCATGATAGGCTAGTTAGCAAGGTTAGGTCATATGGAATCCCGGGAGAGCTAGCCATTTGGATACAAAATTGGCTGTAAGGTAAGTGTGAGTGGTGAAGGGTTGTTTTTCAGACTGGAGGCCTGTGACCAGCGGTGTGCTGTAAGGATTGGTGATGGGTCCAGTGCTTTTTGTCATTTATATAAATGATTTGGATGTGAATATACGAGGAATGGTTAGTGAGTTTGCAGATGACACCAAAATTGGAGGTGTATTGGACAGTCTCAGACTACAACGGGGCCTTGATCAGATGGGCCAAGAAGTGATAGATGGAGTTTAATTTAGGTAAATGTGAGGTGGTGTATTTTGGTAATGCAAATCAGGGCAGGACGTATACAGTTAATGGTAGGGCCCTGGCAAGTGTTGCCAAACAAAGAGATCTTGGGGTGCAGGTTCATTAGATCCCTGAAAGTGGAGTCACAATAGACAGGATAGTGAGGAAGGCGTTAGTTATGCTTGCCATTATTGGTCAGTGCCTTGAGTGTAGGAGTTATGTTGCAGCTGTATAGGACATTGGTTAGGCCACTTTTGGAATACTGTGCTCAGTTCTAGTCTCCCTGCTGCAGCAAAGACTTTGTTAGGGTGAAGAAGGGATTTTCAAGGATGTTGCCAGGGTTGCAGGGCTTGAGCTGTAGGGAAAAGGCTGAATAGGCTGGGGCTATTTTCCTTGCAGCTTCGGAGGCTGAGTGGTGACCTTATAGAGGTTTATACAACCATGAAGGACATGGATAAGTTGAATAGCCAAGATCTTTTGTCCAGGGTAGGGGAATCCAAAATTAGAGGGAATAAGTTTAAGGTGAGAGGGGAAAGAATTAAAAGGGACCTAAGGGGCAACTTGTTCACACAGAGGATGATGGGTGTATGGAATGAGCTGCCAGAGGAAGTGGTGGAGTCTAGTACAATTGCAACATTTAAAAGACATCTGGACGAATAGGAAGGATTTAGAGGATAATAGGCCAAATGCTGGCAAATGGGACTAGACTGTTAGGATATCTGGTCGTCACGGAAGTGTTGGACCTAAATGTCTGTTTCCGTGCTGTACAACTCTATGACACGTGGCTGAAAGAAAGGCAGGAACGACAGCTCAACATTCCTAGTAGACTTTTCTGATGACCGATTTTAAAAAAAACAGAATAGGTCACAATATTCATTAAAGAAACAATGATAATCTTGAGGAGGTGTGATATGATAGAAAAATAATCAAATTAAGGGAAATGAGTTGGGCTGAAGACAAAAAAGGGGCAATCACACTTTTTTTAGTGTGGTGTAGACCCCAAACAGTCAGAGTGAACCAGAAGAGCAAATGTCTAGACAAGTCTGAAAATTGCAAAAAAGGCAACTGGGTAGTAGGGCAGTAATGATGGAGGAATTCAAATACCCTAAAATTATTGGCAATGGATAAACATGGAGGGAGCCACTTTCTTAAAGTACATTCAGTTATTAAGTTAGCACTGGAAGGTCAAGAAGAAAACAGGCAGTTCTGGTCTTGGTTTTAGAGAATGAAACTGAATACATCGAAGAGATATCAGTTGGGGAGCACATTGGTGTATGTGATAATATATCAGTTTTTTTATTCTTTTGTGGGATGTGAGAGTCACTGGAAAGGTCATTAACTCTATGCAGTCCATCTCATTCAAGTGTATCTGTACTGCTGTTAGGAAGGGACTTTCAGCATTTGATTTCAATGATAGTGAAGGAATGGCATTCAAGTCTGGATGGTTTGTGACTTAGAGAAAAACTTGCAGATGGTCATTCCCGTACATCACCTGCCCTTGTCCTTCGAGATTGTTGAGGCCATCATTTTGGAAAAAGCTGTTGAAGAAGCTGTGGTGAATTGCTGCAGTGCGTTTAGTAGATGGTGCACACTACTAGTGGTGGAGAGAGTGAATGTTGAGGGTGGTTAGAATTCCAGTCAAGTGAGTTTCCTTATCCTTTACGGTGCTGCATTTCTTGTGTTGTTGGAATTGTACTCATCCAGGCAAATGGAGAGTATTCTATCACCCTCTGATATATGATTTATGTATGAATGACAGGCAGGCTTGGGGACACAGAAGTGACTTAACTTGCTGGAGAGTTCCCAGTTGTGAACTGCTCTTGTGGTCATAGTTAAACCAAATAAATATATGATTAATGGTATCTAACAGTTTGTTGTTGTGAATGTCAAGGGCAGATAGTTAGATTTGTTCTTGATGGAGAAAGTCATTGTCTGGCACATAAGGACAAAGGTCAGGAGTAAAGTACTCAACGGATAAAAGCTGATTGTATTAAGTGGGGTTTTTGCTAAAGTGAACTGTGAGCAGCTACTTGAAGGCAAATCTGTGCTGAATCAGTTAGAGACATTCAAAGGAGATGGTGAGGATTCAAAGCAAGTATGTTTCCTCAAAGGAAAAGGATGGGACTTGACTCCTAAATGTCAAGGAGTTCAGAGGAGACAATGAGCCTGGGGGTCCAGACTGTAGAAAATCCAGAGAAGTAGAGCAGGTGTAGGGATGAAATTAAAAGTGGGCATGAGGAAAGCAAAAAGAAAGCGTGAAAATATGTAGAGTCATATAGCCGGGATCAGCCAGTTGATGCCAATTTAACCCAAACTAAACTAGCTGGTGCTTGACCCATATCCCTCCTTAATCATGTACTTATCTAAATGTCTTTTAAATGTTGTGACTGTACCCGCATCCATCACTTTGTCTGGAAGTTCATTCCACAGATAAACCACTCTGTGTTTTAAAAACAAATTGCCCCTCGTGCCATTTTTATGTCTTTCTCCTTGCACCTTAAAAATATGCTGCCGAGTCTTGAAATTCCCCACCTTGGGAAAAGACACCTGCCATTCACCTTATCTAGATCCCTCATGATTTTATAGACCTCAATAAGACCACTCCTCATCCTACGCTCCAGTGGAAAATGTCCCAGCCTATCCAGCCTCTCCTTATAATTCCTGGCAACATCCTAGTAAATCTTTTCTGAATTGTCTCCAGTTTAATAATATATTATCATAATATCCTTAATAATATTGTCAATTAAAATCAAGAAAAATCCAAAGTTGTTTTTTGTCAGTATAATAGGATAATTAAACAATTGATAGAGCCTGTTACGGACATAGAGTAACTTTTGTGTGGGGCTCAGAATCACAGAATTGTTATGACACAGGAGGAGGCCATTTGGTCCATCATAGATGAATATCATAACTGGTGTCGATCTTCTGCTTTTTCCCCATACCTGTCCACATTATTTCTATGCAAATAATCATGAATGCCTCAAAAAAACCTGCCACCACCATATTTCCACGCAATGCATTCCACATTCACAACTACCCATTGTGTGAAAATGTTTTTTCCTCACATCACCCTTGCTTCTTTTGCATATCACCTTAAACCTATGCCCGCTTGTTCTTGTTTCGTAACAGACAGGAGCAACTTTGCCCTATCTGCTATATCCAGCTGCTCATGATTCGGAAAACCTTTATCAACTCTCCTCTTAACCTTCACCCCAAGGAGAACAGTCCCAACTTCTTTAGTCTGCTCTCATAACTGAAGTTTCTCGTTCTTGAAACCTGGAGAATGTTGGTATGGTTCTTAAGAAATATTATGTTTCTATGTAAATGGCCATTTTTCCACACTAACCCCTTCTCCTTAGATGTCATAGCCTAGAACAGTAGAGCAAGCCTAAGGGGTTGAATGTCCTGCTTTGTCTTGAATATACTGAATATCATCCCTCTGGGACAGAGAATTCCTTAGACATTCTTCTTGATCTCTCACCTGATTAGCTAGTCCCTTGTTCTGAGACTGTGTCCTTGGTTCTAGACCCCCATTCCCACCCTAATTGATGGAAATACTCTTTCTGCATCTTTTATGTCTAGCCCTTTAAGAAATTTTTAAAGTTAATTTGAGATCACTTCTTACTTTTCTAAATGCTAGAGAATACAGGGCAAGTCTCGTCAATCTCTTCACTTTGGACCATGCTGCCATCCTAGGAATTAGTTATGTGAATCTCTGTTGCACTGCCTCTGAGGCAAGTACATCCTTCCTTTAGTAAGGAGGACCAAAACTGCAAACTGTACTCGGGTACAATCTTACAGAGCTTCCATACAATTGAAGCAAGATGTCTTTGCTGTAATACTCAAATCCTCTTGCGACAAAGGCCATTAAATGTTTTACCTTCCTAATTGTTTGCTGTACTGTATTTTGGTTTTAGTGACTTATGAACAAGGACATTTCCTAATCTTTCACCATTTAAGAAATACCCTGCGCCTCCCACTTAAGCACATTTATGTTTCATATTTTTCTTTAATCCAAATGTTTTCTGGATGAAAATTATTCAGTTACTTTAGTTAGATGATTGGAGTATGAGAGTTTCTATGACAGATGCTTATATTCCAAGCACCATACTTTATGATAATATCAGAAATGCCACTTGCATATTGCCAAGTAAATTGTTAGTGTACTCTTCATGGTTTATCAAGGGATGATCCTGATGGATAAGGCTCTCACTACCAGTGTTTAAGTTGGCCTCTTAACCAAATTTGTGAGAGAATTATTTCTGTCTGTTACCTAACATGTTGGGCTGAGAATGATATTTATTGTTAGTGTGTATATTGTGTATTTTTACACACAGATGCTGATCTTTCTCTGGCTACTATGTTGTAACCACTTATTTCTAGTGCATTACACAGCAAGAAAAGTCACCATTTCCAAATGGTAGAGTCTTCTGGCTATGGATCTGGCAGGAGGTGTTAACTTCTCATGAGCAAACATTATTTTCTTTACAAGTTGCAGTGCATTTCTTATATGAAATATGAATGTTCTCTTATTGATAATGTAGTTGGATGCCAAATGGAAAATTCAACAAGTTAATTGACATTGAAATAATGACTTCAAAGGATTTAAAGACTTTTGTTTGCAAAATTTATCAGGAGTTCAGCTGTTGTAATACTGTCTATTGCAAGTACCTTACTGTCATCTTCTTGTCAGGGATTCTGCCATTTCAAGCAACAAGACTCCACACAACAGCTCCATTAATCATATAGAAAGTGTTCTTCAGCAGCTGGATGAAGCTCAGGCTCAAATGGAAGATCTTTTTCAGGAGCGCAAGATCAAACTGGACCTCTTCCTTCAACTCCGAGTATTTGAACGGGATGCAATAGATGTAGGTGTCCGTTAGAGATTTAATTCTTGGGTTAATTATTTCCATGCTGTTATTTCTTTGTTTTCCCTTTCTTTGTTTTCATGCACTTACTCTGTTTTACATGTCATCTCCTACAGTACAGGGCAAGAACAGGACATTGACATGCCCATGTGTGAAATTGAGAGTGTGTCATTGTGAGATTTTGGCTATCATGGGCAGGTTGCACAATTGTCATTATTTATCACATCAGTAGAATAGAATAGAATATTCTTTATTGTCATATGTACTCACGTACAGATGTATAGGAGCACAGTGCAACGTTTACAATGTCCCCACATGGTGCCATCTTAGTACACAGTACCTAGGTATAGATCTTAGGTATAAAATAGAGAAATAAAGGCGGGGGAGAAAAGGAAAAACGTTACATTACTTAGTTAGTTGCAGTATAAGTTAGAAAACTGGGAAATAAAGTTAAAAAGATAAGCATTACAGCCTTTCTGTAAGGGCCTACAGTAGATCAGCACAGGAGGCTTCCACAAGTGGTCTGACTGGCCTCGCAAGATGCTGACTAGCTCACACCAATTCCCAGTCCAAAAACCATCCTGTTCCACTTGAGCCTCCAAGTCGCTGGTTGTCGCCACTCTGCTAGAGCCTCCAGCCCCAGCCCATTCCTGCATCACTCGAGCCTCCAGACCGCTGATCGACCTTGCTTCACTCCAGCTCGCTCCGCTCCATGCGTCCAGCCCACTCTATGTCGGGGAAAACCCCAAAAAGCGGAACAACGCAGAAAAAAGTTGGGAGGGTGGGGAGAAGAAACAGGAAATAAACAGAAAGAGCAGAGGAGCTCTGGTTGGAGTGTCCTATTGCCGCCATCTTGACTGGAAGAGAAGAAGCTTTTTAAATGATTAATGATCAATAAAATTGCAGTCATAGTCACCAGTATCTCAAATACTTGTTTTAGCCTGAGTCAATTTTATTGCAAGTTGGTTAATCCTGAATATTTAATTGACTGTCAGTTTTGGGTTGAAACACATTGAGTTTGTCTTGCACATTGTCGCTTGTTGCTGTGCCAAAGGGCAATTATAATACTAGAATCTTCTGATAATCACCTAGAATAGAGTAGAATAACCTTTATTGTCACATATGGTCAATGCACATAGTGAAATCTTTATACATTGCCAATTACAGAGCTGACTTAGATATAAATGTACCGAGATACAGCTTCTTTAGTTACAAGATTTTAGACAATACAGAAATAACATGTCCGGCATTACAGAAATAAAAGTTCAATACAGCAGACCATGCTGGCATCTAGCTTCCTGTCCACACTGGGTCTTGACTCCACACTGCGGCAGCAACATGCCACACCGGGAGGCTGCTGCAGGAGGCCAGAAGGCTGCCATGCCATGTTGGAAGGCCGCTGCGCTAGGCCGGGAGGTCTATACGGGAGGAGACTGCTGCAGGAGCCTGGAAGTTCCCAAAACTGCAAGGCCCCGATGGGAGCAGACCGCTGCACAGGTCGAGAGGTGGTTGCTCCAGATCAGAGGTCGCCGTGCCAATGCTGGGAGGCCAGGACGGTGCCATGACATAGTGGGAGGTTGTTGCGCCAGGTCGGGATCATTGCCAGAGGCCGGGAGTCAAAGGGAAAACGAGGGGGATTAAAAAAAAAGAAAAGGAAGAAGAACAAGCGGAGCAACTGACCTCTAGCTGGAGCGCCCTACTCCGCTGCGATCTTCTCCGAATTGTGATGATATCAACTAGTGTGATGATATGTCACTGTAGTTGTACAATGAAATGTTGACTGCCTTCACAT